AATGGTCAGATTGTTACAACGTTTAATGGGGAAAATACAGTGGGTTGCTTCTTGTCATCTCACTGAAGCAGGAAGTGTGCTGTTTTCTGGATATAGATCTAGAAATGTTTAACAGTTTACATCTGATGGTGAGCTGATAGAAGAGGTCATAAAAACTGACAGTGATAAATAAGGCATTTGAATCAACAAATGTGTAAGATGTGTATAAGCAGAATAAATGAAAACAATATTGAAGTATATGATATCTGATTAATTATGAAAATGAATACAAACAAGCATATAATCATGATGATTGTAACAACCTTAATGAAATATTGAATGTAAAACATGAAGTGTAACAAAAAAAAGCAGAAAAATATACGGTGTGATGAAATATATGTATATAATATCTGGCAACTCAGAATTCGTCTTCAAAAAAGTTACTACATAGAAAGTTAAAAATGTGCTCTTTCTTGCAATAAGGCAATCTTTTTTATAAAAGTTGTATTCATTCTATATTATATTATTTTATGTGCTGTATTTCTTATGCCAAGGATATGTTAATAGTTTCTTAATATCATATTATAATAGCAAGTCCACTCGCTCAATAGTTAATATATCTATAAACAAACATTTCTCGATTTCTTTTATGCGTTGTATGTTATTAATAAAGTTGCTAGTAAAAAATTGTTCATATTTCCTCAAATGCTGTCAAGTCCTTTTGAAATTTACAAAACGAAATTTAAAAAAGTTTTACTATCTTCCAGACTACTGGTTTTAAATTCCAAGCTCTTAAAATCATATCATTGCTTACGCTTACGTGAAAGGAAGCGGGGCGTCAGTAAGGATATAATTTTGATGGCATTATTCAAATGGTTTAATTTCTTGCCTAACTTTCCCTTTTTTCTTTCTCGTTTTTATACATGTACATACATTTATTTTACAATTATACCTGATTTGCTTCATTGTATGTACGTAATGTTTCAGATAGTTCAACTTTTCAAATAAACGTAACAGAGAAATTAAATAAACAGAAGCGTTCATATTTGACTAAATACATGTATATGTTTAATTTTCATATAGAAACATTTCAGACTCTTGTGGTATGACATTAGATATAAGCCTCAAACTGACCAATAATTAAAATATTGAATTCGCTTTGGCGCCTCATGAAATTCAATATTTTAAATATTGGACAGTTTTCGGCTTATATCTACTACATAGAGCCTCGTCAGACTGAACAGATTGGCAGAGTGGCCTGGCTCTATACTGGTGGCAAAAAGTGAGTCACTTTTGCTTTAAGCAGATTAAGTTTATTCATATCTGCTGACATGCCTTATGCACAGAACAATATAACCTGGGATTCGGGCGTTGATAGTTTTGGTTATTCATAACATACGCGCTATTTCATACTCGTTCGTGTTTTTGATAATATCATGTTAATATCCCGAACAGAAGCACATATCAAAATTGACAGACAGGAACCAAGGCTGAGAGCCATAGAGCATTGTATGTATATGCAATGCAGCTTTCATTTCAATTCATTTCTTGTATGTAAATTAAGATATAAAACAATTATTTCTGAAATAAGCTAGTCTTTTCTAATTAATGTCAAACTATAAATAAACATTGAATCAAAGTACAGATTAAAAGAATAATCATGAATCAGCTCAAATATATAAGGCTTACTTCCTGATCTTTTCATCACGTATAGTTTTCTCATCAAGAGTACAACCCTGTACAAAACCATATGCTATGCCATTGTCAAATGATGCATAAAGAGGTGGGCTTCTTCCTGCTGCACTTAGAAGCTAGAAAAATATATGTTGGTTTATAAGTTAGGCTATAGATCATACAAAAATAATGATATAACAAGACTCCTGTCTATAATAGCCTATTTGTGGCAGGTACTAAAGGCAATGTTAAATGTTTAATCACAAACTTTTTACATATTAGGACAACCTTTATTGAGAAAGCACCAACGTTTACCTGTATATTTTCAACATCTCTGTCTATCATAAGCTTTGTTCCTTGACCATAAATCCTCACCAGAATTACATCTTCCTTAAATTTACCCTCCTGATAGTAACCGTACAACTGGTTAGAAATACCTCCAGTAAAAACCTGCGGGTGAAAATACAGTGGTTAATAATCAAATAATGGTATAATCTGTGATGTTTTTCTTTTTATTTTTCTGGTTGGGATTTACGTCATGCAGACACGGTTATTTATGGCTACTTTCCAGTTTTACTGGTAAATGAAGACCTCAGATAGCCTTCGTTTTATAAACATACACAATCAAACCAATACAACTTCTCATTATATTGAATTGTATAAAACAATGTGGGGTTTAAAGGAGAGAGAACACTGATATGATAAAACTATCATTGGAGAAGATTTATATCCAATTTTTTGAAAAACAGCTTTAAAAATATAAGGTTATATCATTGTTTTTATATTATTTATAAGATAAAGTTTTAAACCCTTGCACATAACATGTATTACCTGCTCTGGCTGACAGTTTTGCCAAGGGCTTATGTATAGTAAATAATGGAAACTATTTATTGAAATAAGAGGGAAAAGATGGCCCTAGATCGCTCACCTGACCCATCAAACTCATCCGAGCAATTACCCGGACGAGCATCCTGACCAAGTTTCATGACAGTTGAGTAAAAAATGTGGCCTCAAAAAATGTGTTAACAAGGTTTTTCCATATTTGAGCGGTTTGGCCTAGGTTTTGACGCCAGGTGACCCATATTAAAAATTGATCTAGAAATCAACAAAATAAACTTTAAGACCAATTCCCGGGATATTTGGATCAAACATTAGCCACTATAGTGGGAACAAGATTTTTCTATTTTTTGCTCTTTTGACCTAGCTTTTACCCAGAATGACATATGTTTGAAGTCTTCCGAGCAATTACCTAGACTATCATCCTGGCATAGTCTAATGACAATTGAGTCAGGAATGTGACCACTAGAGTGATAACAAGGTTTTTTCATATTTGAATGGTGTGACCTAGTTTTTGACCTTAAGATACCTATATTCAAACTTGACTTATAAATCATTAAAAGAAACTTTCAGACCAATTTCTAGAATATTTAGATCAAAACAGTAGCCACTAGAGTGTTAACAAGATTTATATATTTTTAGCTCTTGTGACAAAGTTTTTAATTTGAGATGACTCATCTTCAAAGTCATCCGAGGAATTACCTAGACATGCATCCTGACCAAGTTTGATGATGATTGAGTCAAAAATATGACCACTAGAGTGTTAACAAGGTTTTTTTCCATATTTGGGCGGTGTAACCTAGTTTTTGATCCTGAGTGATCCATATTCAAACTTGACCTAGAAAGCATCAAAACAAATTTACAGACCAATTTCCAGGACATTTGGATGAAAACAGAAGCCAATAGGGTATTAACAAGATTTTTCTATTTTTAGATCCTGTGACCTTGTTTTTCATTCGAGATGATTCATGTTCAAACTCATCCGAGCAATAACCTAGACAAACATCCTGATAAAGTTTGATAATGATTGAGGCAAAAATGTGACCGCTAGAGTGTTAATGAACAAAGTGAACGGAAGACGGATGACAGGCATCGGTCATTCAACTATCCTAAGAGCTTAACCTGAGCAAGCTCAGGTGAGTTAAAAAAATAAATAAGACAGATCATTATTTTTGTATATTCTGGTTTATTTTAGGCAAATAAAGAAATAAGGACATAAAAATTTAAAAATTCTGCTCATATGACAATACAAGTATTTACTTTTTTAATCACTTCCTGGTCCAAATATTTCACAATAATAAGCAAATGTTTGAGACGTACATTTTTATAAAGTTTGACAATTACTGGTTGAATAGGCACAACGGATCAATAATTTAAAATCAATATTTTACAGTGGTGAATACATTGTGAGAGATATGATATGTTTTGGTTACTACATTTATGACCGTAACATTAACTCTACAAAAGTTCAACTTATAAGGGTTAATTTGTATAAGATGATAGGAAAGGTTTAATTAATTTTGTTGAGAAAGCAGTATATGAGACAATGAAAATGTAAAGACTGGAATAAAAAATTTATTACAAAAAATATTTTCAAAATGACTATGAAATAACTGCAATACGATATAAGGACAAGCTATATCTATATTAAGACGCTGTATAGATCAACTAAGTAAACAGGTTTCAACAAGATTTTCAACAAAATGGCTACAGGTGGAAAAATAAATACGGATATTCTTTCTGATGAAATATTTGATGTATTATGTTCAATGTGTAAAAATCGAGGTAAAAAAACTGAAGGTGAAAAATTCTGTGTAGACTGTCATGATTTCTGTACAAATTGTGTTCAAGTTCACAGTCAAGTTCCTTTGTGTGCTGGTCACAAGGTGTTGGATAAATCTCAAGTTATGTCAGGAACCAGTAAAGGTCTGGCGAGGGCACCAGCAGAGAGATGTGACAGACACAGTCATAAACACATTGATATGTACTGTCAGAATCATGATAATGTTGGCTGTTCTACATGTATGGCAATTGATCACAGGTAACTTTTAGCATAATTTCATTTTATTTTATTCTTTTACTATAAACAGTCTTAAATCCTTTGAGTCTTCCTGCTGAGTAAAATTTTTCCATCAATTAATCATTGACAAATAATTGATGGCCAGACATTTTTTAAATAAAAAATCACCGTAGAATTCCACTGGATTGTTTATCATTTTGCCAGGTAATTGATTTAAGTCATTAATAAAGTTAGGTAAAAGCTAATATATCAATGTTTTAGTCAGGTAAAGAGCTAATATATCAATAAAAAGTCAGCCAATATATTAATCTTTTCTTCAGGTAAGGGCTATTTTATTAATCCGATCATCTGCTGCAAACTATGTGTTAACATGTTAAACAATAAAACTTAATAAGTAAATAAGATAAATCATTATTCTTAAAACATTGTGCTACAGTATATAACAAATAATTCCACTTCAGATGCTGTTACAAACTGATTTGTTTTTCAGATCATGTAAGGATATATTCTACATACCAGAATTCATCCAAAATAAATCTTATCAAGTGGCTTCAAGAAAAATTCAAACAAAGCTGAAGGCATTAGCTAAGACTCTTGCTGGACAAGCTTACAAATTTCAACAGGATAAACAGAATCTTCTGAAAAGAAAGGCTGAGTTACTGGACTATATCAGAAAATTCCGACAAGAAATTAATGACCAGCTTGACAAGCTGCAGAAAAGTTCAGTAGATGAGATAGAAAATAAATTCAAACTTCTTGAAGACAAGATTGAAGAAGGTCTCAAACAGCTACAAGCGCACAAAGCAAACGTTACATCAGCTCATGATAAATTAGTATCTCCAAACCAAAATCAAGCTGAATTGTTTGTTCTAGTGAAGATTGGGGAAGATGCTGAAAATGTTGCCAATAAATTTATAGAAGATACCAAAATGAAGATTACAGTAAGTGACATAGAATTTCAACCTGACAGAAAACTCCTTCAACAGCTGAAACAAAACCAAACCATTGGCATGCTGACAGAGAAAACTACCGACAAGTTACTTCAGATTACAGGAGGACAATCATACTGTGTCAATGTTAAGTCTGATGAACAAACATGTGATATCTACAGTGCCTGCTATATTGAAGATGGTAAAATAATCCTAGCTGATTTCAACAACATGAAGCTTCAACGGTTAGATAGTCACAATTATACCATCACAGATTGTTATAATCTACATGAACAGCCATGGCAAATATGTAAAATTCATGAATCTCAAGTAGCAGTAACATTACCCGCAAAACAAGAATTTCATTTTATTTCTGTTGGCAGACAAATGAAAACAATGTACAAGATTAAAACTGATTTTGACTGCCGTGGTCTTGCATATGCAAACAATCATTTATATATTTCAGATGAGACATCAGTATATATCTGCACAATGACTGGCAGGAAACTTAAACAATTTAGTACTGACCAGTCAGAACAGGAACTGTTCTCTATTATAAACAGTCTAGCTGTCAGTAAGGATGCTACAAGGATTTATGTTGCTGATGGTTATAAAGGACTGATTGTACTAGACAACAATGGTCAGATTGTTACAACATTTAATGGTGAACAATTACAATGGGCTAATTATTGTCATCTCACTGAAGCAGGTAGTGTGCTGGTATCTGGATTTCACTCCAATAATGTTTTACAGTTTACATCTGATGGTGAGCTGATAGGAGAGGTCATAAAAGATTACAGTGGAAAACAAGGAATTTGGTCAGTTTGTTGTAATCAACAAATGTCTAAGTTGTGTATAAGCAAAGAATATGAAGACAACATTGAAGTATATGATATCTGATCAGTTAATAAGTAAATGAATACAAACAAGCATATAATCATGATTATTGTAACAACTTTAATGACAGAATGAATATAAACATGAAATGTAACAAACAAAATGAAAAAAACAACAACAAAAAAAAAACAACAACAGAAAACAATACTTATGCACTGTATGGAATAAATAGTAACACAGATTATTTGTCTTCAAACAAGTAACTACGTAGAAAATTAGAAATATGCTATTTTTTAAAGTTAATAAATAAGTACTCGTAAATAAAAGTTGTGTGCATGCCATATTAATTTATTTTATGTGTTGTATTTTTTATGCCAATTATGTGTTGATATAATATTTTAATATCATTATTATAATAGCAAGTCCACTCACTCAACTGTTAAACATATATATTACACATTGATTTCTTTTATGCATTGTATGTTATTAATAAAGCTGCAGTAAAAAGTGTACAAAGAATATGTTTAAACAATAATTTGAAGAAGTGCCATGACCTGGGGCATTTCAGCTTTAGCTTAAACGGGGCCAATAAAATTGATATGAGAAAACTTGATAAAAGGCTACCTAGAGGGTAATCAAATAAATATGAGCAAACTTGATACAGAGTAAGAATGCTACAGACAAAGCTTGGTGATCATCCATCAATTAGTTCTTTTGTAGGAGATGTTGGAAGGTTTTTCTATTCTTAGCTTTAGCGGCCCCCTCAAAGGGGCCAATCAAATTAGGATAAACAACTTTATAAAAGTCTACCCTAGAATGCTACAGACATCCATTAATTAGTTCTGTAGAAATAGACGTTTAAAGAGTATTTCTATTTTTAGCTTTAGCTGCCCCTTAAAGGTGTTAATCAAATTGATATGTCTTATGAGCAAACTTGATAAAAAACTACCCAAGAATGCTACAGACAAAGTTTAGTGATAATCCTTCGATTAGTTCTGTAGAAATAGATGTTAAAAGGTATTTCTATTTTTAGCTTAAGCGGCCCCTAAAAGGTGTTAATCAATTTAATATGAGCAAACTTGATAAAAAACTACCCAAGAATGCTACAGACAAAGTTTGGTGATCATCCTTCAATTAGTTCTGTAGAAAAAGACGTTCATATATATATATATATATATATATATATATCTTGTTTTAGTTTTAACTGCCCCTTTGGGTGCCAATCAAATTAATATGAGCAAACTTGATACAAGATTACCCAAGAATGCTACAGACAAAGTTTGGTGATCATCCATCAATTAGTTCTGTAGAAGAAGATGTCTAAAGGTTTAAGGTGCGTGCGTGTGTGAACAACTGTATTTAATGTATGTAATACGTACGTACGCACGTGCATACGTAAGTGCGTAATGACATGATAGAAAATTATACCAAAAGTAAAAAGATGCAAAATAATGTTTTATACTTAGTTTATATTTTATACCAATCTTAATAAACATTTAAGATTCAATTATGAACAAAAATATATATTTTTAAAACAGTCAAATTTTTTTAGTAACACAACTATTAGTTTTTTCTAGTCTTAGACATATTCATTTGTATTAGATATTTTGAAATGTAAGGGAAGTAATTACGAATCAAATGCATTTAAAGATTGTTAGAGTAGTGTATCCTGTTGTTTGTTTTTGCATCTTACTATTTTTACAAATATTTTGTTTACTTTATTGACAGGTTTACTGTTGACTAATGCCAATATTAATTAATAAATGTATATACAAAAAATGTGACTATGAGCTATAATGGCTTTGTCAATTGTGTATTGTGAGATTTATGAAAGAATAAAGCTTCTTCTTCCTCCTCTTCTTCAGATAGCACACAAGTCTGGAAAAATATTTCCAGATCCTTCATGAAAAAATTTATCAGTAAAATCTGTTTAACTTAAAAGTATTTTTGATATTGTGTCGCATGAGTGGAAAAAGGTTAAAGCTACATTCTTTCAAATTTTACCAACCTATAATTTGCTTTTATTTTGCACAAAACGCCTGCATATATATTTGTGGAAAAGTTATAAAATCGAAAAATTATTTGTTTTGATTCTATTGATTTTTTCATGATTGAGTGTTTTGCTTTGAAAATGGAGTAGATGAGTTATTGTTCTTAATTTGTATGGCACTACAGTATCTAAACTTTTTAATTGGATATATAGGGGAGATAGAGCACATTAAGCTTGACTAACAAGAGTATCTCTCTTAAAGTTAAGCAGCACTCACATGATATATTTCAAAGGTTTAATTTCAATTACTGCAATTCTGGAGATAGAGCAAAGATATTGCTATAAATGTGTTCACACAGTGGATAGAGAGAAACTTTTATAGACTATATGATATTAATAACAACATGTATGGGTGTAAGAGAGAAAAATTTTATACAGTAATAAAAAAATGGAGATAAAGCAATTTTTGAGTCAGGCGACGATAAGTTACTCATAAAGATCACACGGAGATATTATTAATTCATATTTTTGTATTATATCATTTTATAATTCATACAAAATATGTTTGTGCTTATATTTTAATCAATTGGGATTCCATATTTTATTAAACAATTATTTTCTTTTAATGCTACATACATATATAAAAAATGAACCCCCAAAATATTAAACATTATAAAAGAATGCATAATACGTATGAGACGTAACTGTGGATGCCAACACAGTCTAACTCTTGCGCTAGCAATAAGTTGAATTATAAGTTATACGCAAAGGCTTTGCAAAATAATATGAAACTCTTGTTGTAAAACTAAACATGCTCACTATAACAAAACGTTGACAACGTCAAAATTCACGACTGTAGTTAAAAGTTTGGACATTTCAAATATGGGAGAAAGGATCATAAGGTACAATTACAATAACAAAAATGCAGAACACAAAGTAATGTAACAATAAGTGTTGAATTTAAGTTTAGCTTCAGAAAAGTTTTATAAATGCAGTATTTTGTTGACATGTTGACAAAAATAGCAAGGAAACATGCATTTTAAATGGATAAGAATAATATAACATGTAATATTACATTTAAGTTCATTTAAATTCCCAAGTCAGCCTTAAAGGAGTTGCTGTAGAGAAAAATGAATAACAAGACCTCTTTAATCAATGTCAAGTTTTATTTGATATAGCTTTTAAAGTCTCTTTAGAACAATTCCCAAATCATTCCAAATAATGTTAACGCTTCAGCAGGAATTTCCCCCAGAATTTTTACGAGGAGACAACACTTGTATCTATAAAGCCAGAAAATAATATTATTATATGTGTTATACCTATACAAATACCATTTATTTTTGTTTAGTTAGACTAGCGTTTAGTGTAAAGTATAGAGAAAATGCTAGATATATAGTGTTAGATATATTGATTCAATATAAATATATTTTAATCACAAGAAATATATTTAAATTACATGTGTCAAAAGTACATTTCTTTTATAAAATAACTGACTTTCATTTACATTCCCTCAATTTCTCAATTTATTTCACTTCCTATCAGACCAGGACGTGAGATCGAAAAAATTTCAATTCAATGGAATTGCAAAACATACTTTTTGCCTAATTCTGTTAACCATCATGGCTGCAAGGAGTTCAATTTTGAATGTATATTATAGGTATGTACATAGAGGTGTTTTGATATGACGTACAGGACTAGACATATTTTAAGAAACCTTTATACAGTTTGATTTATAACAAGAACTTGTGTGCACATTTTCAGGCTATTCTTCCTCTCAAGAATAACCGAATAACCACTTTTATTGTAAAAAAAACACCTTACAACGGGCTAAAATCTTATTAAACTCTAATCAAGCTTTGATGATCACAATTTTAACAGCTTAATATACATTCAAACATGCATAACCACATTTTGATATACATAGTAATTAGCAGTTAACACTCAAACAACAAGAGCGATAGGACAGCTGACTCGACTACTCTCGGTGCTTGATAGAAACACAAGATAATGTAGAGTTTTATAAATTCAAAAAGGACCATAATTTTATCAAAATAAATGTAAGAGTTATGGGCTTTGGATATTAATGTATTTATTTACGGTGCATACAACGTGTCTTTCCATATATGGTAATTCCTCGTGTTTTTAATGGTAATAGATTTGGCGGTAATTTGCACGATATTACGTGTAAGTTGATAAAATATAAACATTCGAGGCATTACGTTCACGCTGTTCATTTGTGAAATTGCTTTAAATATAATTTATATATATAACGAACTATCATGAATAAATTAATGGATTTAACATTGCCTTAAACATATTTTTGATATCTTGTTTTGTCTTTTTCAGATTCTTCGTCTTCGTTTTAACATGGATGTAAAAATTTTAAAAAAATGAAGGGGAGGGAAGATAATAATGTCATGTTTTGATTCAATCTGAACTTAACGCATTTCATTTAATTAATTGTTTTTCATTAGACTCAAAATTTGGGATATGTCAGATAGGCGATTGAAACAGCCGCTGATCTAGAGCTTTGGAGCTTCCTACCTCCCCCTCCCAAGACGGAGTAGGGTTGGGTAGCCCGCTCGCAGCATTTCTGACTTTGGCTTTTTCCAATTATACTATATTTGTTAATTATAAAGATTTCTAATTCTAATTTGATTAAAGATAGTATTTCTTAGAATTCGAAATGTCATTAGGTTTGTTTGGTTGGGTCGGAAAGCAGAACACGAAAATTTTGTAAGTACACTTGCAGTTTTTCTTCAAGTATTGATCAATGGAGTTTTTTCTTTTGTTTCCTGTAAATCTTTTGATAAATAAACGGGACGGCTTAACGGCATGCTCCCTAACATTGTTTTATGTTATGTTTTTCTTTAAAGCTGCTTGAATGCAAGTGTATATTGGAGGATAATAAATAATTTATGCTCGTTTGAGAGCATCGAATAAGAGCACAATGCTCTTAAATAAGTGTCTGAAGTTTCAATCTATTCCCATTCAGTAGTTTTGGAGAGACTCAAACGCAAAAAAACTTAAACAAAGTGTGACGTGTATATATTTACTTATTCTTCGAATAGTCGAGCTATTCATATAGTCGATAAATCAACAAATCATGCATTTAGATAAAAATAAGAAAACAAGAAGGCATTGAAATCGCTCACCTGAATATAAAAACTCTACATAGCAAGGCACAAGTAATATTGTAAACTATAAACAAAGGCAGATATAAAATGTACATCTCAAACTGATATCACAATGTTCATATTTATATCTGTAAAAGAGCATGTGTAAAAACATTACTTGTTGCTATTTCTTAAAGGAAAACAACAGTGTCAAAATATGTGTACATATTAGTAAAAACAATGACCCCCTTAGGCGTGGTAAATTTTGACCCCAGGGCTTTTATTTAAACAAACGTGGTAGACACTCACTAGAAGTATTTCATGCTAAATATCTAATTGCAAGCTCCTTGTTTTTTTAAAATTTTTTTTAAGTTGTTCCTATAT